TGGCAACCAGGTGAGAATATTTGAGTTACCCCCAAAAAAGCCCAGCGCGATCAAAGAAAACCCGAGTACAAATGAGAGAGAGAAAACGGATAATATCCGTCCATCTTTCATCGTCGTCGGCAGCATCAGCGCTGTTTCGGAAATAGATCAAACCAAGAGATAAAACTCCTTAGGACAATCCATTCCTATCCTTAAACTTTCAAAAAATATACACAAAACCACACAAACAAAGACACACCGACACGCTGAACTTACCCTGTAGCCCGAGCTCTTGAAGTGGCAGCCTCTCTTCGTTAGCGTCGACTTCATGCGGATGCAGAAGGCCCGATCGAAGCCCTTGAACATGGAGGAGCTGGAGATGGACATGGAGGAAGCCACTGCGGGTTGGGGAGGAAAGGAGACGGTCACGGTGAGGTTTATGGGGCTGGGTTCTCGTGGCGGGGTTCATGCGAGAAGATTTTAGTAAGTGAACAGCGCAATAACAATTCCTACGAGAAACACTTGACGATAACTAAGCTGATTTAACCCATGGATAAGGCATCAGACTTTTAGTAAAATCGTTTTCAGTGACGTTAAAATTGTTCGGTCTTTTTCACCTTTATCTGTCTGTTACTTTTCTACTGCACAGAAAGGGGGATATCAGAGAATGATAATAACTATATTAACAACAGTAAATAAAAACAAATTTGATCATTCAAGTAATTGTGGTGGTTTGAATTACAGTTTATTACCAGGAATAGAAATTGGTCATTTATAGCTCCTTAAATAAATCGAATAAAAAAAAAAACATCTGAAGGGAAGTGAAGACAAAGTAAAGACAGAAATTGTTTTTAAAAAATCAAGACTGAAGCATGTCCATACGTTATACTCCATATATTACGAATTAGGTTTTCACTCGATAAAACAAGTAATTAAAATACTAGAGATGATTTGGAGGGCTGCTAAGAAAAAAAAATGTACAATTGTCCTATCTGAACATATGAACAACCTAATTCTCATTAGACCTTCCATTAACTCATCGATTCCAATAAAAACAACGTTATAGTTGATACACATTTAACACTAAACATTCGCCCATGCTAGAAGGACACACACGCCAACACATCACAAATCACATAGCTAAAAAAGGGACCTATTATCCATGCAGATACAAGCAAAGAAACAAAAACAAACGAAATAACAATCCAGTATAGTTTGTTCTGAACTACTGAACAATTGTCCATGCACACTTGCTGGCTGAAAAGTTTGGCATCGTGTCATTTCCTGGATGAATCGTAATCGTTGAGCGAATTGCAGCAGCATTTCCAATTTCGTGTATTTGCATTGTATAAGATTATATATATATATATATATATATAATATATAATATATATAATAATATATATATATATATATATATAAATTTGTATATATATTTATATATATATTATATATATTATATATACATAAGATATATATACATACACATATATGTGTGTATATACATGTGTATATATATATATATATATATATATATATATATATATATATATATATATATATATATATATATATGACTCGTAACCTAGCAGATTCCAATATGATAATTTCTATAGATACATTTTACGTCTACATAATAAATCACATCTAAACACAGAGCAAATCTAGCTTTAGTGACATTCAAATCATCAAAAACCTCTGAACGTAAAAAAAAAAAAAAAAAAAAAAAAAAAAAAAAAAAAAAAAAAATGACAGTACTTACGTCTCGGAAAAAAAGTCATGCATCTACTGGTAAACATCACGACACATTCCATCGCCAAAGAAACGTCAAACAAACAAACAAACAAACAACGTCTCCTAACTACGAAGGGCTAACACACCACCGTAGTTCCGACACTCACTCATGTGCTAACAGCTAAAATTTATCGATATGACGTCACTGTTAAATATTGTCCCGACCAGCAGATCGCACAGAAAAGGTATTATTGTTTTAGTAGAATTGTTTTAGTAACCCATATATATAACTCTTCTCTTCTATCTGTATACACTTATAAATACATACCCTGAGAACCCGTAAACAGGTAGGAGACGAATGAATCAAGGCAGTTTTATCATTTTGATGATCTTTACAACACACCAGTGACAGTGAATATGAATAGCCAGATTATTTAAAGGCAACTCGAAAGGGATAACCATCTCAAATCCACAAAACTGCCGTAAAAAGGATTCTCTTAGTCCCCCCTTGCCTGTTTCCCGTTTTCTATGCATTCCCACCACCGCGACAAGTGAGTGTTGAGTTATTACGGTTAGTGTACTTACATGGAGGCTTACCGTCAGGGTTCATAGTTCCCTGTGACCCTGCTGCCCCTTCCTCTGACCCTAAAGAGGAGGGGGAGGGCAAAGGCTGACCCGTGGCTAAGGTCAGACCTACTTGGTCAGCAAGCTCCTGGTGGTCTTGCTGGTGGATGTAGTCAAACACGCTACTTCGGTTTTCAACCTCGAGAGACCAAGGGATACACATGGTGAATGGGCGTCGTGTAAATAAAAAAAAAAAAAAAAAAAAAAAAAAATATTAGTAGATGAATAACACGATGCTGTTTCCCGAATTTCTCTCCTCAAAGTTAATTAGAAAATTCCGGTAAATACAAAAAAAAAGAAACAAAAATGAGGGGGGGGAGGGGAGGGGGGGGGAGGGGAGGATGTCTCTCCGCCAAGCAGTGAAACCGAAATCAAAGTGTACATCAAGGGAAACAAACCGTGTAATAGAAACAGCTACAATTTAACCCGAGATTGTCCCCGGGTGCGACATAAGCTAATCTAATGAACGTGTCAAAAATAGCAAGGGTAACGTGGCTGTAAGCTATACCCCGCATACACACACAAACACAAACATACACATATACACAGTCAGTGTCTCTCTCCTTTATCAATTTCTCCTATTCACTCTATTTATCTTTTCTCCTGTCGTCTTTTCTCGCATCTTTTCGGGTGTTTTTTGGACATGATTTGACTCTATCCTCTCTCCTTTATCAATTTCTCCTATTCACTCTATTTATCTTTTCTCCTGTAGTCTTTTCTCAAATCTTTTCAGGTGTTTTTTACATGATTTATCTTACTATTCATATCTTTTCATATTTTTTTTTCTTCACAGCATCTTTCTTTTCTCATATACATATTTTCCATCGTTTCCCCTCGAGCTTTATTTCTGTTCTCCATTTTCTTTCGTAGTTCTCTTTCTCGATGTTCGTTTTCTTCGTCCCTGCCTCTCTTCGTCTCCCCTTCCTCTTATTTCTCCTTTTTTTCTCCATATTCGCTTATCCCTTTTTCTATGCTGTACAGTTTCACTTTCTACCCTTTCTACATTTCCTTAAACAATGCATTTTTTTATATCTATTACTTGTTTCTCTTTACATTCATCTACTCTCTCCGTCTCTGCTTTATTCCACTGTCATTCTCTTCTTCAATTCTCCTTCTCTTCCTTCTCCCATTCCAATCTTATCTTTTCCCCTCTCCCTTTGTCCTCCTCCTATTCCCACTTCCTATTCCCGCCTTGTTTCCTCTCTCCTTCTCTTCATCTCTCCTCTTTTCTCCCCATCCCTCCTTACTATTTCTCCTTCTATTTCCCTATTTTCCTCTTATTCTCCTCTTCCTTGCTAACCCCAGTATACTCCTCCCTCCTCCTCCTCTTCTCCTCCCTGCCTCCTCCTTTCTCCCTCACTCCTCTTCTCATCCCTGTTACCCATTTCTCCTTCTCTCCCTGTTCTCTGCTTCTTCCTTTCTCCCTCTCTTTCACTTTCATATTTCCACCTTTCTCCCACTCTCCTTCCCTCTACCCCCACTTTCCCTCAATCCCTCTTTCCTACTTTCTCCTTTCTCCCTCTTCCCTATTTCTCCCTTTTCTCTGTCCTTTTTCTCCCCCTTCCCTGTTTCCCCCTCTCTCCCACTTCCCTGTTTCTTCCTTTCTCCCTCTGTCTCCCTATTTCTTCCTTTCTCCCTCTGGTCTCCATCCTTCCCTGTTTCTTCCTTTACTCCCTGTCTCCCTGTTTTTCTTTTCTCCCTCTGTCTCTAATCTTCCCTGTTTTCTTCCTTTTTCTCCCTCTGTCTCCCCTCTTCCCTCTCCCCTGTCTCCCTGTTTCCCTCCCTCTTCCCCCTCTCCCTCTGTCTCCCTGTCTCCTGTTCTTCCTTTCTTCCCTCTTCCTCTCCTCCTGGGCCTCCTGGTGAGTTCCTCCCGCCTGGTATCGAGCCGGGCGGCGTGGCTGGCACCCGTGCGTGGCATCCCAAGTAGGCAAGGCCGCAATGCGAACTAGACCAAAGGCACCGGCCTCTCTCTCTCTCCCATCTCCCATCTCTTTCCTTTACTCTCCCTTTCTCTTCTCTTGGTACTCTCTTTCTCTCTATGTCTTTCTTTCTCTCAATTCGTTTCTCGCTTTACTCTCTCTCTTGGGCTTTCTTTCTCTCTATGTCTTTCTCTCTCTCTATGTCCCTTCTCGCTCTTACTCTTCCTTTCATCTTTCTCTTCCTCTTCTCTCTCTCTCTCTCTCTCTCTCTCTCTCTCTCTCTCTCTCTCTCTCTCTCTCTCTCTTCTCTCTCTCTGTGTGTGTGTGTGTGTGGTAGGTGTGTTGTTATTTTTACGTTTCATTATATTTGCTCATTTTTTACCCTTTACTTTCACTTCAGTATATCCCTCATCTTCTCATATCCTTTGGCTAATTTCTTTTTTCTTCTTCTTCGAATCCACTTCTCGTCTCTCTCCGCTCTCCTTTTCCTTTCCTCTATTTCCTCCTCTCCTAACCTCTCTCTCTCTCTCTCTCTCTCCTCTCTCTCTCCTCTCTCTCTCTCTCTCTCTCTCTCTCTCTCTCTCTCTCTCCTCCCTCTTTCTCTCTCTTCTTTCTCTCTCTCTCTTCTCTCTCTCTTTCTCTCTCTCTTTCTCTCTCCTCTCTCTTCTCTCTCTCTCTCTTTCTCTCTCTCTCTTTCTCTCTCTCTTCCCTCCCTCCCCTCCCTCCCTCCCTCCCTCCCTCCCCTCTCCTCCCTCCCTCTCTCCCTCTCTCCTCTTCCCACCCTCTCTCCCTCCCTCCCTCTCTCTATCCCTCCCTCTCTCTCTCCCTCCTCTCTCTCTCTATCCCTCCCTCTCTCTCTCTATCCCTCTCTCTCTCTCTCCCTTCTCTCTATCCCTCCCCTCTCTCCCTCTCTCTATCCCTTCCCTCTTCTCTCTCTCCTATCCCTCCCTCCTCTCTCTCTATCCTCCTCTCTCTCTCTCTATCCTCTCCCTCTCTCCCTCCTCCTTCCCTCACCCTCCCTCCCTCTCTCCCTCTCCCTCCCTCCCTTCCAGTCTCATTCTACCGTTTCCTTGTTCTGTTTTATTTACCTCCTGAATCTCTTGTTTACACTTTCTATCTTGGACGTTATGAGGATTCGCTCCAATAGAGGTGTTTATTTTGGGGAGTAGAAAATGCGTTTAAAGGGAAGGGAAAGAGAGAGTGTCAAGCGCGAGAACGAAAGTGCGTATCATTTGGGAAGGAGGGAAGAAAGAAAGACTAGGAGAGGGGAGAGAGAGAGAGACGGAGAGAGAGAGAGAGGAGAGAGAGAGAGAGAAGAGAGAGAGAGAGAGAGAGAAGAGAGAGAGAGAGAGAGAGAGGAGAGAGGAAGAGAGAGAGAGAGAGAGAGAGAGATGTAGTGTGCGTGCGTGCGTGCGTGCGTGCTGTTGTGTGTGTGTGTGTGTGTGTGTGTGTGTGTGTGTGTGTTGTGTGTGTAATGTTGTGTGTCTGTGTGTGTGTGTGTGTGTGTGTGTGTGTGTGTGGGTTTGTGCGTCTATGTGTGTGTGTTTGTGCGTCTGTGTGCTTGTGTGTGTCTGTGTCTAAGGAAGGGAGGAAGAAAGAGACCATGAGAGAGATAAAGAACAGTAAAAGAAAAAAAAAAAACAGAAACAGAAAGAAAAACAAACAGAAAACGAGGGATGAGACGAAAAACAAAGAAAGGCAGACCATCAAATCATAGTATTGTGTGAATGAGAACTTGCGTGCAGCGAGTTAGTGAGCATACGAGCGTTTCATATGCACAAACGTGCGTGAGGAAGTTTGTATGTCTTTGCATGCATGAAACAGCCATTGCACACGTTTCAGAGGAGGCGATACAGTTTTCATAACGTTGCCAGCCGTGAAATGCAACCGGCCTATTGCACAACATCGGATCTGTGTCACTCGTTATATGCGAAAGTACGTGACGCAATGCTGCCGCTGCAAGGATATATACTCTGGGTGTGATCAGTGGGAAGCATTATTCAGTCAGCATCGTTATGAAGCATTATTCAATCACCATTCATTATGCAACAACCTATTACATAACACTGTGTTTGTGCTGTTCGCTATCTGCTACCGCTGATATATACAGACTTAGTAAGAGTAGTGAGAAGTATCATTTTTAGATCTCTCAAAAAAAAGGAAAAAAAAAATCTGCTGTTTAGCTCATTGGAAAAAATATCAAAAAAAGAACATCAGGAAAATTTGTTTGATTTACTCATGTCTCAGTCACAACAGCCAATATTCGATGTGCTGACTGATCATTTCCTTTTAGTCACATCATGTCATTCACCTCGCAACGTAGAACCAAAGGTAATAGTTTTATAAAATCAAGAGAGACAGGGCTTGAATATATATATTATATATATATATATATATATATATATATATATATATATATATATATATATATATATATATATATATATATATATATATATATATATATATATATATATATATATAAAGGGGCAGATTACAGTTGATAAAGTACTATATAAATGTAAATATAAATTAATGGCATCTTTATATATACATAACATTATACATATAAATATAAATATAAAACACACACACACACACACACACACGCGCGCCGCGCGCCACACACACACACACACACACACACACACACACACACAACACACACACACACACACACACATATATATATATATATATATATATATATATATATATATATATATATGTACATATATACATATACACACACATATGCATTATGTATGCACATATATATGATATATATATATATATATATATATATATATATATATATTATATATATATATATATATATATACATATATACATACATATATATTATGTATATATTATATAAATAAATAAATAAATAATAAATATATATTATATATTATATATATATATATATACTATATATATGTGTGTGTGTGTGTGTGTGTGTGTGTGTGGTTGTGTTGTGTGTGTGTGTGTGTGTGTGTGTGTATGTGTGTGTATGTGTGGTGTGTGTGTGTGTGTGTGCGTGCGTATGCGTGTGTGTGTGTGTGTGTGCGTGTGCATGTGCGTGCATATATATAATATATATATATATATATTATATATATATAATATATATATATATATATATACACACACACACACACATATATATACATATATATGTATACACACATGCATACACACACACACACAACACACACAACACACACACACACACACACAC